TAACAAGTTATAAGTACATGAGTCCAAAAATTATGGAAAAGTAAAAGAAAAGATTCTTTCATTGTTTTACAAACCCTCCCCCAGGTCCCCTCCACCATGTAGCCCTCGCTCTAGTCTCCTGTGATGACAGAAATACCCAGTTATATCTCTCTTTAAAACGGTTCTCTCCCTCCTCTGTTTCAGTGCAGTATACATTATTGAACCCATCTTACTCAGTCTCTCCCCAACCCCAAGGACAGTCCCATTTTACAACAGTGGTATTATGTAATATTTGTCCTTTTGTGACTGGGATATTTCACTCAGCATAATGTTCTCCAGAGTCAACCATTTTGAATAATATTGCATGAGTTCCTTGTTTTTTAATGCAGCATAGTATTCCATTGTGCGAATATACCACAGCTTCTCTAGCCATTCGTTTGTTGATGGGCACTTAGGTTGTTTCCAACTCCTTGCTATTGTGAACAAAGCTGCAATAAACATGGGTGTGCATATATCTGCTTGGATGTCAGCTATGGTCTCTTCAGGGTATATTCCCAGTAGTGGAATTGCTGGGTCAAATGGTATCTCTATTTGCAACTTTTTGAGAAAGCGCCACACTGCTTTCCACAGGGGTTGCACCATTTTACACTCCCACCAACAGTGAATCAGGGTTCCAGTTTCTCCTCCTCCTTCTTCTAATCCTCTTCCTCCCTATCCAGATACATGTCAAAAACCTCTCTCTTTGACACATATGCTCAGGGACTGAATTAGCTCCACCAACTTCTCCCCACTAAAACCTAGTTTTACCACATCTTCACAATTTTTCCTAAAATACCCACTTAACAGAAATAGCAGGAGCTGAGGGAATAGTCAGAGTTCATGTCCCATTCTCATCTCAGTCTCTCTCAAATCAACAAAAGGTTGGGCTCATTTACTGATGGACTCACAACCTTTCTCAAAGAATTTGTAAACCTAACTCAATCCTATGACATGACATGGAATGACCTATATGTCATTCTTTCCTTTAACCTAAGAAGAAAGGAATCAGGTGTGGAAGAAGGTACAGAACCACACAGATGCCAGGCCCCTGACTTCCCAGTAAGGGCTGAGGCAGTCCCAAAGAAAACTCCCCATTAAGATTACCGCGCAGGAGATAATGGCTGTAGGCTGCACGACCTTATCTACCTGCTTGATAGGAGGACTAAAAAAAAGTCCTGTCATAAAGCAATACATTTTAAAAAACCCTCCAAGGTCATTCAGGAACATCATGGGAATCTTACCACCTTCCTTACCTATATTACAGTCACTTAAAGAAAATACACTAATATTGACCCTACTAGTCCTGAAGACACTCTAGTTTTAAATCTCAGGTCAACACTTGACATCTGTCATAAATGACAAAAACTAAAAGAAGGCCCTCCAACTTCCCAATGAGACTCCTTAAACCAAGTCTTTAAAGTCTTTAACAGGTAGAGATGAGGTAAAAATCCAGACAACAAAAGGCAGGAGTCCAATTGTTAGCCTCTGCCATCAGGGACGCCCTCCTCTCAATAAATCTCCCAACAAGTGGCCAAGGCTCTTGCACAGCACAGAACCCCCCAAGGCCTTGCTTCAGGTGTGGCCAGATCAGCCACTGGGCAATGCATTGTCCTCACCCTATGCCTCCACCCAAGCCCTGCCCTCTCTGCTCAGGGCCACATTTAAAGTTAGACTGAGGACGGGGCACACAAAATCTGCTCTCACCTACTTTCCTAGGCAACAGAGAAAGGGACACACCTCTGGACCTCATTGATTTTGATGCTGAAGATTGAAAGTGCCCAGATTCCCACCCACCATCACCACCTCTGAATGGTGGGTTACCTAGATTGTGGCAGGTAGTCCAATTTAATTCCTTACTGATACTGGGGCAACCTACTCTGTCCTTTTCTGAGTTAAAAGGGCCTTTACATGCCTCCATACCTTTTCAATCTATTTGCAGAACGGATCATTTGGGAGGCTGGGCTCTGTGAGGAGGATGTGGCATCAGGATCGGAGGAAGACTCATGAACAACGTATGTTATGTAATATAAGCAGGGTTGTGCAACAACCCCACTTACTAAAACTGAAGAGGACCTGAGGCATTTGTTGCATAAGGTTGAGGACTACAGGCTGCAATATGAATTGAAGCTCAACCTCAAGAAAACAAGTATTCTCACCACTGGGCCACTGGCAGCATCATGTTAGACAGAGAAGAGATTGAGATTGTTAACAGTTACAGCTTGCTCAGTTCCACAACCAACATTCTTGGTACCAGCAGCCAGGAAATCAAAAGATAAATTCCATTGGGAAAGTCTGTGGTCAGGGTCCTCTCCAGAGTGCTGAAGAACAATATTGTCAATCTAGAGATTAAGGTGTACCTGATCCAGGCCATGGTCTTCACAATTACATCAGAGAGCTGGACAATGATTAAAAATGATAGAAGAAGAATTGATGCCTTTGAATTATGGTGCTGGAGAAGAGAATAGTATTGAATATACCACGGACTGCTAAGAGAACAAACAGGTCCATCCGAGAGAGGGTGAAACCAGGCTGCTCTTCGAAAGGTAGGATTTTGAAGACATACTTTGGGCATGTTGCAAAGAGAGATCAGTCTTTGGAGAGGGACATCATACTTGGAAGGGTATGATGAAGGGACAGTGCAAGAGAGAAAGACACTGGACAAGACGAACTGACTCAGTGATTGGGGTAATGGAGGTAGGGGTGTCATAGATGACGAAATTGGCTCAGGATAGAGCAGGGTTCAGAGCTGTTGTACATAGGGTCGCTATGCATCGGAGTTGACTCGACAACATCTAAACAACAACAACAAAGTCTCAGTTGTGGGGATTGATTGTCAAATCTCCCGGCCTTTGTGCACAGCCCCTATACTGTGCACTTTTAGGACATATGTTTTTCCTCACTCGTTCCTGGTCCTTCCTTGTGCCCTACCTTGTTACTTAAACATAATATCATAGACAAGCTACAAACAACCCTCACTTTCTTTACTCCGACACCATCTTGTTCTCCAGTTAGCCTGCTCTGCTTACTGGCAGATGTACAAACAACTCCTTCAGAGATCTTAGCACCCTACCTTAGCACTCTACCTCGTCATCTCATAAACTCTATAGTCTAATTCAGCATTCTATAGTCTAATTCAGCATACAATAGCCCTGTCCTGCCAGTGGTCCAGGACTTTTGTGCTATAACTTGTCTTGGACAAACTACCCATCCTGTAATTCCTAGCCCCCTTCTGCTCAGTATTTCTGTCTTAGATCTCAAAGTTGTTTCCTGCTAGATCTTTAATCACAATGTCTCTTTGCCTTTACATGGACAGATACTGACACCCGCATTTCTAACCAGTTAACCTGGTCGACCCTCTCCTAAGGTTTCCAAGACAGCATTTACCTTTTTGAACAGGCACTAACTCACAATCTGCCCCTGCTTCAGAAACATCTCAAATCCTCTATCCTCATAACAATGTTAATGATCTCTGCAGCACCGACCTTCCCACCTTTCAACACCACAGTGCATGTCTCATATCTTCAACTTTTTTTTTGCATTTATTTTATTTCAGCAAACAATAAAATTAGAGATATATTCCCCCAGTATCCAGTGCTCTTTGGATCTCAATTCTCAGGTTCTTATACAACTTGTGAGATGAGTGTTATAAAGACAGCAACCAAACCAAGTCTCTCCTTGTTATTTTCACTATAAAATTAAGTGCCTGCCGTCACCTGAAGGAGAGGAGACCTGATTAGATAATTGGATCTAGAACCAATTCCTAAAAAACAGCATAAATATTGCAACTTCTTAGCAGATAAATGCTATTGTGTCTCTCCCCCTCCCCATAGAGCCTAACTCTCACAAACCCAGGTAACTTACCTTAAGTTAGTCATTACTCTCTTCCCAAAAAGAAAGACCGTCAACTGATTGATCTTCTCACACATTATGCAATCCTAACTACTGAGTGTTCTCTACTCTCCTTCCTTGGCTTAGTCAGCTTTTTCACAATAAATACCCTGCTACGCTTTCATAGCACAACTTTAATCCTGTCACCGAGAGCAACCTCCATAAATCCCTAAATCCAACGTTTTCATACAAGCTTTCTTTAGAAACCCAAGGGGGTTAAAAAAGCAGAGCTCTCCGCAGCTCCTGTTCTGTTATTACCCAACCTCTCCAAAGTTTTTCATCTTTACATAAATAAACAACAGCCCATAGCTGTCAGAGTTTTAACCCAAATGTAAGGTCCTTCACATAAAGTCATTGCCTACCTGGCCAAATAACTAGATCCCACAGGTGAAAACTGGTCCAAGGGCACCAGCTGTGGCTACCCCTTTTGCATAAGAATCTAAAAAACTGGACATTTTTTTCTCTCCCACAATTGTCTGTTCATCTCATATCCTTCAAGATTCCCTTTCTCTCCCTTTTTGAGGAATTATGGCCCCAGGTTACCTTTAAGAATTATACTCCCACCTAATTTCTGGTCTTTATTATATTATATTATATAAACCTCTCCCTATTTATACTGATCTTATATACTTTTCTTTTTTTCCAACTCCAAGAGTTGCAAAGATAATTCTTTAGTTAATTTGTCTAATATTATTGCCCATGGGGGGAAAAAGTCTCTCCTACTGTTGGGTATGTTACCCTAACCCTATATCCCCTAGCTCATACAGCCCTCCTGTATGAGAAGGAAACCCAAGGTAAGTTTACTTTAGGATAGATACATTTAAGCTAGTGCACTAATATCCCCCAACACTCAAGAGCTCTTGAGTGTGCCCACCTAGAATCTACTGCCTACTTGTTATGAGCAGTTTAAGGGTAAGGAAAATATATTAATTTTGCTGTAACACATATTATGCGATATCTTAAATTGCTATAATTTGCTGTGAAATGCATTATGAAATATGTTTGCTGTGGAAAAATATTATAATGAATTTGATGCTTAAGTATAGAAATAAGAATATTTGTGAAAAAATATACTAGTAGTTTAACATGTCTAAATGGACCTCTTTGAGGCTGAGAGCCCCACTGACCACAGTAAGTGCAAACCCTTGATAAGGGAATGTAACTGATAACCACTTGCTGTAGAGATATTGACCTCACCATATGTGAATCCTGATAAGGGAATGAAACTTGTTGCTGCCCACATTGCTAAGAAAGTGTAACTTGTAAATTTTAAAGTAAGAATATATGTTAAGAACTTGCTATGTTATGTGTGAGAATAAATATGTTAAGAACTTGCTATATTATATGCTAGAACTAAAATAAGAAATATGTTAAGAACATGCTATATTATGTGTGAGGATTAACTTGCTATATTATATGTTAGAATTAAAATAAGAAAATATGTTAAGAACTTGCTATGTTATGTGTGAGAATTAAAATATGTTAAGAACTTACTGTATTAGACTTTAGAATTAAAATAAGAAATATGTTAACTTGCTATATTATATATTAAAAATAAAGTAAGAAATATGTTAAGAACCTGCTAAACTATATGTGAGAAATAAAGTAAGAAATGTTAGGAATTTGCTGTTAGAAATTATGTTAAGAATGTTTGTGAAAATATACTGAAGAGTTAATATGTCCAATTAGGCCTCTTAGAGGCCTAGGGCCTCCTGATCACAACAGGTGCAGACCCTTGATAAGGAGATATGACTGGTTACTGCCACGTTGCCAAGGATAGAACATGATTGGTCAAACCTATGCTGCTTTGGGACTAATGTAATTGGTTGAAAACTCAAAGTTGAATGTTATTGGTTGAATATGATGTAGCATCTAGTAGCCAAGCTAAAGGTATTTATACCCCAGAGAGCTTAACTTGAAACTCACTCCACTTCAACTGGGAAACACTGAGCTGAACACTGAAGACCCAAAGGATCTTTTCAGAGCCAAAGACCCAGAGGCTCTTCTCAGAGCTGGAGATCCTGGCCAACTCAGCAATGGTGAGCTACCAAGAATTCTGTCTGCACCAGTGGCTGTGACAGACCGAAAGGAAGAGACAAATTTGGCTCTGAGGGGGTGAGTGTTTCTCACTATACTATGATATGAATTTATTAATTGCAATGTAGATAAATTGCAATTAATGAATTAATCAATTTGGATTGTCTATGAGTAATTAATTAAGGCTCAAGGCTCATGACAGTACTGATATCTTGAAAGCGATTAGACAGGAAGCTGCATCCAAGTTTTCATGATCCCAAACATTTGAGTCCTCAGCAATTCAGGCATGGATTGGGCCATAATCCTTAAACTCCAAAAAGTAAAGGAAAAAAATGAGCAACGGGGAGGGGGGAGGGATTGTATAACAATGAAAGAATTTTTTTTTTTAACTTTTCAAAGAGAAGAGTCAACTCGGTGGGGGGGGGGTTGAGCAGGGAGAAAAGTGCAAAGATGAATGAATGGAAATCCAAAGTCTCTGTAAAATTTCATTAAAATTAATTAATTAATTAAACAAACAAATAAACAAAAAAACCCAGCAAAAACCAAGCAGTCATAACACTTTTCCTAATAAAAACTGGCATAGTTGCTACTGTAAAGGCCAGAATAGATGGTATCAGTTCCTCCTTTCACTTTTATCTTAAACTTTTATCCCAGGAATTAATTAGTGATGTAAATAGCCAATACCCTAATAAACCTGCAGGCTCGGTTAAATTAATTTGCCTTGATGTGCTTCAGTTCGGCTGTGCCCTGGACATACTCACAGCTGAGGAAGGAGGAACCTGGTTGTTTCTAGGAAAAGAACGCTGTTAGTATGTAACCCAATGTTAGGATTGGTTTTTTTAAAAAAATTAAATAAAATGTTTATTTTATACTAGTTTACTTACAAAGTTCGTATACATCGTTTTTTCACACTAGATCTTTCCCATTTCCTTTACCCACCCCTTCCTTCCACCAAACATATTGTGTGACCTTATGATTAGCATCCCTCACCCATTCTTACTCCTCTGCTTCCCCCCACTTTGAATTCTCATATACCTTTTACCAGTTATTTTTCTATTTCTACAATAATGGTCTTATATAGTATTTGTCCTCATGGGACTGAGTTAGTTCACTCAGAGTAATACACTCCAGTTCCTCCTAAGTTTAGGTAGTGATTTTAAAAATCATTACTCCTGCATGTTGCATAGTATTCCATTGTGTGAATGTACCCTAATTTCTCAGTCAATTGTAGTTGTACATTTAGGCTGTTTTCATGTTCTTGCAAAGGTGGATAATGCTGCTATGAACATTGGTGTACAAATCTGTTTGTGCCTCAGTTCTCATTTTCTTGAGGTATATTCCAAACAGTGAAATAACTGAGTCATTTGGAATTTCTATGTTCAGCTTTTTGAGAAAACATCATACTGCCTTCCAGAGTAGTTGTACCATTTTATAGTCCCATCAACAGTGTATAAGAGTTCCTATCTTGCCACATCCTCTCCAACACTTATTACTTGCTGTCCTGTTTAACTTTGTCCTTGTTATTGGAGTGAGACCATATCTCACTGTGGTTTTTATTTGCATCTCTCTTATTGCCAGTGATTTTGAGCATTTCTTCATTTGTCTGTTGGCCATCTGAATATCTTCCTCTGTGAAAAGTCTTTCCATGTCTTTTTCCCATTTTGTAATTGTGTTATCAGTCTTTTTCTTTTGGAAGCCCTGTAGGATTCTGGACACTTAACGATATGAGACCGTTTTCTGAAATGGTATTGCCAAATGTTTGTTCCCAGTCAGTAGGTTTTCTTTTCACACTGTTGGAAAATGTTTTTGATACACACAGATATTTCATTTTTAGAAGGTTCCATTCATCTATTTTATCTTTCTAGATTGTGCATTTTTGGCTGTCTTTGGTAGTGTCTTTATACCAAAGTCTAGGCCTTCTAAGCTTGATCCCAGTCTGTCTCTTGTGAACTTTATGGGTTTTGACTTTATTCTCAGATCTCTGACTCATTTTGAGTTGCTATTTGTGTATGATGTGAAATGGGGATTCTGTTTCAGCTTTCTTCAGGCAGCAGTCCACTTTTACCAGCACCATTTGTTGAAGAGGTTGTAATTTCCCTGTTTGATAGGTTTTATTTCCTTGTCAAATATCAGCTGACCATAGATAGTTGGGTCCTTTTCTGGGTTCTCAATTTTGTTCCACTGGCCTATGTGCTTGTCATCGTACCAGTACCATGCTGTTGTGGTTACTATCATTGTATGGTGAGTTTTGAGGTCGGGGAGTGCTATCTCCCCCACTTCATTTTGTTATTCAGGGTCTCTTTCCTCTCCAAATAAACGTGACAATTTTTCTTTCAATCTCCTTGACAAAGAAATTTGATATCTGTATTGGGATTGTGTTATACATGTAGATTGCTTTTGGTAGGATTGTTATTTCCACAATATTGAGTTTTTCTATCTAAAAACTCTTCTCTTCTCCAGCACCACAGCTCAAAGGCATCAATTCTCCTTCTATCCTCCTTGGTCATTGTCCAACTCTCTGATGTGTAACAAGTGATTGCGAAGACCATGGCCTGTATCAGACGCACCTTAGTCTCCAGAGAGACACCATTGCTCTTCAGTACTTTGGAGAGGTCCTTAACAGCAGACTTTCCCATGGCAATGTGCCTTTTAATTTCCTGGCTGCTGGTGCCAAGACTGTTGATTGTGGAGCCAAGCTAGCTAAAGCTGTGTACAATCTCAATCTCTTCACCGTCCATCCTGATGCTGCCAATTGGTCCAGCGGTAAGAAGAGTATTGAGAATACCATGGACTGCTAGGAAAACAAACAGATTTGTCCTGGAAAGGGTTAAACCGGGTTGGAGGCAAGGATTCTGAGGCTCTGTCTAACATACTTTGGACATGTTGTGAGGAGAGACTGGTCCTTGGAGAAGGACATCGTGCCTGGGAGGGTGGAGGGACAGCGCAGGAGAGGAAGGCCCTCTATGAGGTGGATTGATTCAGTGACTGGGATAATTGGAATGGGAGTGTCAGAGACAGTGAGATTGGCACAGGACAGAGCGGAGTTTAGGGCTGTTGTACATAGGGTCGCTATGAGTCGCAAGCAACTCGACGGTGCATAACAACAACAACTATCTAAAAACAGGGAACAGTTTTCCATTTATTAAGATCTTTTATATGTACATTGTATTTTATAGAGTCTTTAATTTCCATTATATTTTGTTCATTTACACTGTGGATTTTTGAAGACTTCTATTAAATTTATTCAAGGTTTTTTTTCCTCCCTTGCATACAGCTATGACTTTTCTTCTCTCTATTAAGAAATATCCATGCTTCTCTCAGTTGTTCAGGAAATATTCATGCTTCTCTTGCAACATGTAGGTTTCTTGGGTGTGGCTGGCTGGCTGATCACATTAATTTAAGTTGCAGTTATTGTCTCAGCCTCCTCTGTGACTTCTCCACTGCCTCCCTTGCAGGCTAGTCATGAAGGATGGTGCCCAGAGCTGTGGGTAAGTCAGTCCTGGCCTCAAGTCCGGCCTAATTGTCATTGTATTCTGCTTGTATCGTCACAAATCTATTCTCTTTCCTCTATTCTGTTGTGGATTTTGTTGTTATTGTTGTTGGTATTGTTATTGCTGTTAGATGTTGTTGAGTCAAATACCATGTATAGTGACCCTGTGAACAACAGATCTGAATCTCGTCTTATTCTGCCATTTGCAATATCTCTTGACATATCTGAGCTCATTTCTGCAGTCACTGTGTCAATCCATCTGGTTCAAGGTCTTCCTCTCTTTCACTGACCTTCTGCCTTTCCAAACATTATGTTCCCTTCCGAGGAACAGGCCCTCTTTCTCCTACAACACTGGCTCCTGAAATACTTCAGTGTCAGCCAATTCTTTCTGGTACAATGATTCTGTCTGTTCTCTCCATCTTCTTTTGATGCTTCCTGTTTCACTCAAGATTCCTTCCATAACAGCTCTTAGTATTGCAACGTGAAGCTTGAATTTGTTTTTCAGTTCTTTCAGCTTGAGAAATACCAAATGTGTTCTTCCCTTTTTATTCTCCAATACCAGCTCTCTGCACATTTTGTAACAATATTTTGCTTTGTCTTCTTGAGCTGCTCTTTGAAATCTTCTGTTCATTTCTTTTACTTCAGCTTATCTTTCCTTTGTTTTGGCTTCTTTATGCTCTAGTGAAATTTTCAGAGTCTCTTCTGACATCCATTTTGGTTTCTTCTTTCTCCTCTATCTTTGTAGTGGCCTTTTGCTCTTTTGATGGATAGTATCTTTAATGTCAACTCACAACTCATTTGGTCTTTGATCATTGGTGTTCGGTGCTTCAAAGCTGTTCTTAAGATGGTTTTTAAATTCAGGTAGGATAGACTCAAGATCGTATTTTGGTTCTCATGAACTTGTTTTAATTTTCTAAAGCTTCATTTTGAACTTACACATGAGTAATTAATGATCTGTTCCACAGTCAGCACCTGGCCTGGTTTTGACTCCTGATATTGAGCTTCTTCAATTATTCTTTCCATAGATGTAGCCACTATGATTCCTATGGAGTCCATCTAATGAGGATCGTGTGTAAAGTTGCCATTTGTATTTTTTTTAAAGCTATCTGTAGGGGAGCTCTGGTGGCCTAGTGGCAAGAAGCTGCACTGCAGTCCCAGAAGTACATGGTTCGAATCCACCAGATGCTCTGCCGGGAAAGGAGGGACAATCTCCTCCAGTACCAGTCAGATCTGATTTGACGGTACACAGACACACACACACACACACACACACACACACACACACACATAATAATAAAATAAAATAAAAAAAATTAAAAAAAGCTATCTGTGATGAATAAATCACTGATTGTACAAAATATCTGACCTTGTGTCTGTCATCAAGTCTGTACTTTCTGACTCTTTATCCTTCTTCATTGTTTCTAACTTTGGTGTTTCACTTACCAATTATCTTAATTTCATGCTTGATCACTTTTGGATTGCAAAAATTTGGTAAAAGTCTTCAATTTCCTCCTCTCTGAATTGGTGATAGTAACTTTTAAATAATCAAGCAGATACCTAAAATACACAGCTGTTTCTTCTGGTCTTAAACGTGTTTGAATGATTTCAACCTAAAACGCTTCCTTCCTAGTTTTTTTTTTTTGTTTCAAATATGACATCATACCATTTGCATACGGAACGAATTTGACCTCCCTCTGTTTGCAAATGAGCCATCAGAGCTCCTGAAATGTTATGGGCTCCACCAGAGGGAGCTCTGGTGACGTAGTGTTGGGAAGCAGTGCTGTATTCCCAAAGGCGTGCGGTTCGAATCCACCAGCTCCTCTGCAGAAGGGTGAACAATCGCCTTCCACGTGAAGACCTACTGGGAGGTCAGCAATGGGTCGGTTCTGACTACACAGCACACAACAACAACACAGCTCTTTATGGATTTATCATAGAAGATGGCTTTTTAACATACTGAGAAACTTTTCTCCTATTTCTATTTTTTTTTTATCTACTTTGATAGTGTGCTGAGTTCTGTAAACATTTTGTTTTTCTTTGGACATCTTTTTCTTTTTTATTAACTGTTGAGGTGATCATTTGTCCTCTTCCTGTCTCTCTCTCTCTCCTTCAGCACCTGTGTATATATTTTCGGTGTCTCTGCTCCTTTGGTGTTCAAAGGTCATCGCAGGTGAGTACACAGATGGGAAAGAGGGTCGGGTGAAGTGACTGCCTTCTCTCTCAATGTTTGAGAGCTTCCTCTGGGGATCCTGGTTCTCCTTGGACTTACACCAACATTATTGGCCTAGATTCTTCCATTGGCTCTGGAATGTGGTTGTGCCAACCAGCGCCAAAGTGTGGAGACCAGATCTACAACCCTTGGGAGCAGTGTTGTGATAACGACACCATCCTACCTCTGAACAGAACTCGGCAGTGTGGTCCTAACTGCACCTTCTGGCCCTGCTTTGAGCTATGCTGCCCGGAGTCTTTTGGCCACCATGGAGCATTGACTGTGAAGTTAAAGGTTCTAGGAGTGAAGTCGCAGTGCATTTCTTCCCCTATCTCCCGCGTCTGTAGCAGGTAACCATTTGGTCCCTGCCCTTGGCTAGGGACAGTTAGAGAGAGAAGAATATGAAGGATCTGGGTATCTTCTAAGACTTTTTTTCACTTGTATTTTAACTTTTGTCGATTATGATCTTGTTTTGTCAATTATGATCCTCTCATTTCTTTGTCTGTATTTCACAATTCCTTGGTCTCCCTTTTTGTTTTCCCAGACATATCCAGCTTTCTCCAAGGCATTTTGGAAAAAGAGGTTGAGGTATGTCCTGTTATCTGAGAACTTGGTAAAGAAGCCTGAGATGAACACATTTAGAGATTGGAAAGGGGGTGGGGGTGGGGTGGTAGGGGAGATTCCTAAGTGAGAAATTTTGACTCCTGGGTAAAGCTTCTGTGTCATTTTCCAGGCCTGGTTAAGCAAGTAAGAGGCCTCACAGTGAAAGTGGCTCTCGCCAAGCAGACTTGGTGCATGGTCAGTCAGTGCATCGCAGTCTTTGAAAAGAGTAAGCCAAGGACTCAGGCCATCTGACTGGCCATGTTCTTTCACATGCCTGCTCTCCTAGCCCAGGGAGCTGCAGCGGCCAAGGAATTCTGGCGCCAACCCAAAAGCAGGCAGTTCAAATCCACCAGCTGTTCTTAGAGAGATGGACAATCTCTTCCCATGCCGTTTGTTGTTGTGTACTGTGGAGTGTGAAGTGACCCAGAGCTCACCCTCCCGTGGCTTTTCAGAAGCAGGAAATGGCATGGGAGGGCACTACCCATCTTTCTTTGGTGGAACAGCTGGTGGATTTGAACAGCACGCCTTCGTGTTGGCAGTTTAGCTTCTTACCGCTAAGCCACCAGAGCTCCCATGCCTCTGAAACCCCTTCGGAAGGTCAGTTAGGAGTAGGTTCTGACACGATGGCCATGAGTTGAGTTGAGCTGCACTCTCCACACAGGAAGCTCCAGGGGAGGGCTTTGGTAGAGGTGAATGAGTGAGAGAATGACTAGTGATATCGAGTTTCTTTTCAGAAGTTGTTGCTCATTTATATTTTTTTAAGAAATTACCTACTCAAGTTGTTTGTTTTAATTTGGGTTGTTTGGTGGACTTAAGCAATGTACCTTCAGGACTGAAGCACAATTTCTTGCCACTAGGCCATCAGAGCAACTACTATTGTTATGTGTTATTGAGTCGTTTACGACTCATAGGGACTCTATGTACAATAGCCCTGAAACCTGCTCTATCCTGTGTCAACTCTACTGTCTCCAATGCACCTACCCTCACTACCCCAGTCGCTGTATCAATCCAGTTCATCAATGATCTCCCTCTCTTTCTCCATCCTTCCACCCCTTCAAGCATGATGTTCCTCTCCAAAGACTTGTCCCTCCTTGATACATGCCCAAAGTATGTCAGACGGAGCCTCAGAGTCTTCGTCTTCAAGGAGCAGCCTGGCTTCATCCTCTCTAGAACGAACCTGTTTGTTCTCCTAGCAGCCCACGGTATAGTCAATACTCTTCTCCAGCACCACAGCTCAAAGGCATCAATTCTCTTTCTACCAAGCCTAGTCATTGTCCAGATCTCTGATACATAGCAAGCAATTATGAAGACTATGACCTGGATTGGGGCACTTTAAGTCTCCAGACTGATTGTATCAGAGCAACTAGTGGCCACCTGATACCCTTTTTTAGGTAACAGGGATCAGATATGAAACCTTGACATCTTCAGGTGCAGCAAGAGCTCCTTATCTAGTGGGGGCCCTTCTCATGCTGCGTATGGGCACATGCTCACAGAGGCATGTAAGCCAGCATCTCCGTCTACATTCCATCACATTTTTTAAAAATTTATTATTAATTTCAATGAAAAGTTACAGACACTTTGGATTTCCATTCATTCATTGTTGCACTTTTCTCCCCCCCTAAGCCCCTGCCCCCTAGTACACTACCCTCTTGGAAAAGTAAATGAAAAATTCTTTCATTGTTTTACAATCCCTCCCCCAGGTCCACTCCACTATGCAGCCTTCGCTCTGGACTCCTGTCATGACAAAAATACCTAATCACACATCCCTCTTAAGCAGTTTTCTCCCTCATCTGTTTCAATGCAGTATACATTATTGAACCCATCTTTCTCAGTCTCCCCTCAACCCTGAGGTCAGTCTTGTTTTACAACAGTGGCATCATGCAGTATTTGTCCTTTTGTGACTGAGATATTTCACTAGCATAATGTCCTCCAGGGTCACCCATTTAGAATAATATTGCATGAGTTCCTTGTTTTCCAATGCAGTGTAGTATTCCATTGTGTGAATATACCACAGCTTATCTATCCATTCGTTTGTGGATGGGCACTTAGGTTGTTTTCAACTCCTTGCTATTGTGAACAAAGCTGCGATAAAAATGGGTGTGCATTCCATCACATTTTAAAAACTATTTCTTTACATTTTTTAATTGGTTTGCTTATGAAGTTTATATACGTTATGTTTCACACTATTTTCATACAATCTTTCTTGCCCTCCATTACCCTGGTTTTTCACCCAAATCCTTGCCATTTGCTTCTCCCCCTTCCTCCACCCACTGAACTGTGCAGTCCTGTGGTTTCACCCCTACCTATCCTCACCCCACTGCTCCCCCCACCTTGAGTTCCTGTCTAGGTTTTAATAGTTATCCTTCTATTTTTACAGTAATGGTCTGGTATCCCATCACATTGTAAACAACTAGTGTTTCAACTGCTCAGTGCAATTCTGTATGATCATTACTCTGAGGCATATGGCATCATTTCTCTGCCTACTACTGGGAATTATGGATTATAATGTATCTCCTGGTCTGAGGAAATGAGACTCAGTAGTCCATGTTGATATAACACTGTATGTTCACTTCTTTTCATAGTGGTCTGTGCAGTGTTTACCACTCAACGACAACAACTTAGTGGCATTAAATTGGGACCAATTCAAATGACCTTCCAGTGGACTTTCAAAGACTATATATAAACTCTCATCCAGGTGGATTGACACAGTGACTGCAGCAATAGGCTCAAGGGCCTTAGAGATTGTAAGGATGGCATAGGATAGGACACAGCTCAGATCTGTTGTTTTTAGGGTTGCTATGAGCCATATTTGACTTGACAGAACCTAACAACAAACAACAACATATTACACAGAAGAGTACCCATTTTTTTTCCATTGGGGAAGCTAGTGGATTCAAACCACCTACCTTTGAGTTGATAGCACAACTCTTTACCCACCAGGCCACCAGAGCTCCCCATCAAATTATAGTGCAAACTACTCTTTTAAAAGATCTCTATGTAGGCTCTCAGGGGGACGGGTACAAATCCAACTTGTAAGTTGTGTGCAGGGTCTTCTCCCAGGGGAGATCTTCCTCCGGCCATTTATCTGTGGTCTCTGTGTCTTTTGCTGTCTACAACTCAACACTTACTAGCATTTTGTGCCTCCGAGAGAGCAAGGGGAATATGTCTAGGTTTAACCAGAAGAGATCAACTGAATTGCTGCAGCCCACCAGTGCCCACGGATTTCATGGATCCAGGTGGCCACCAGGGGATGATGGTCAGAAGGCATGACTGTCACCTTCTTTTTACATTGATACATAATAATACGCAGAATAGTGGCTGTTGTTGTTGTTTGATGCCATCGAGTCTTAGACGACTCATAGCGACCCTGTGAACGAACAGCCTGAGCACTGTTAGTACGTAGAGTTTCCGGAGGCAAGCCATTTTGGAAGTGGATGCCTCTCCTGCTTCCAGGCTTGATTTAGTCGGGAAGCTCCAGCCAACACTGTCCACCATGGGTGCCCATTACCACGATTGGCACATCACCATCACAGTGAGAAGTGAATAGTGGCAGCCAGGGCAATATTCCCTTGAGCTTCAATGGTTGGAGCTGTTATTGAGTCTTCTCTCCCTAGGCACCATTGATTGAATCAACAATTATACGATTGAACCCGGCTTTGAACCAGTTGGTTTCAGTTCAAATTCCTGTGAAGAATTTTTCTTTTCACCCACAATATACTGAGTCTGAAGCTGCATTTGAACAAAATTTAACCAGATGATCATTCTCTGCCCACTTTTGTTCTAGATCCCCATGGATTCCCCGGCATCAACTTTTCTTCTTTCATCCTTATTCATTGTCCTGCTCTTGGATGCATAGCTACTAATCAGACACATCTTAGTCCTCACACTCACATCACTACTCCTCGATAATTTGGAAAGGTCCCTAACTGCAGATTTCCCCAGTACTTTCCTGACTGCCAAGAGTGTTAATTGTGAATCAAGCAAAGTGAAGTTATTGACAGTCCTTTTCTTCAAATGTGGATCCAACTCAAATAAATGAATTGGAGCCCTAAATTGAACTCAATCTCCTGTCCGTCTCTTCTCCACAGAGGTTCTCCTGATATCATTTAGTTCAAAGCCACCTCCTTCTGATCATCTGGGTCTTTCTGGTGTGGCAGCCTGCAGCACGTGTAATCTATACCACTTGTATTGCAATCTAGGGTTACATTATGAGTCACATGGTTAGTGTAAAATATCAGAGGTGGTCTGAGGTTCCCAACTTTGAGTAACAAAAGTATTCTAATAACTTTAGAAAGTTCTAGACTTGGATATTAACATCCAGGAACTGTGGGGCAAAGACCTAACGAGTTGTTAATACATGTACTAAAGTTACTTCCAAAGGATTGAGGATCAAGATCAGCCATATTAAAACAACTCTGAGATATCATCTCACCCCGGTCAAAATAGCGAAATTTAACAGAACAGCAAGCAACAAATACTGGCGAGGTTGTGGAGAAACTGGAACACTTATTCACTGTTGGTGGAAGTATAAAATGGTGTAACCACTGTGAAAGGCGGTGTGGCACTTTCTCAAAAAGTTGCAAATAGAAATACCATTTGACCCAGCAATTCCACTACTGAAAATATACCCCAAAGAGACCAAAACTGACATCCAAGCAGATATATGCACACCCATGTTTACTGCGGCTTTGTTCACAATAGCAAGGAATTGGAAACAACCTAAGTGCCCATCAACAAACGAATGGATAGAG